AAAAAAAAAAAAAAAAAAAAAAAAAAAAAAAAAAAAAAAAAAAAGTGCTTCTGCATGGAGACCAACAATACAGATCTGAACAAGGAACTACAAATTGCTGTAAGTAATACTTAAACATAAAGTCCTTAAAAATCAATGAATATGTGACAGCCAGGACCTCAACTGCATCCTCAATTCAGTCTTTTTTCCTCTCTAAAATAGAGAAAAAATGAAAAAATGTTTCTATTACATGTAAAGCAGCTGATCGCTGCAAAATGCAATCAAATAAACATGTCCAGACAGTGAAAACATTGCACCCAACAAACTATTTCATCCAACCCAGAGAAAGATGCCCTGAGCAGGAAATGCTTTTAGCTGAACATTTCATTTTAAATGCTAATAGTCTGGGCACTTTCCTATTCGGATGTGTGTTCTTTACCTGTGAGCCTCCAGTTTTCCCTTTTTTATTATTATTGTTGTTATTCTCTGCCTCGGGAGATTTCTCTCCCTCTGTGGGCATAGTTTCCTCCTTCTTTTGATCTGCAAAAATATCAAGTGTAACAGGTTAATTATTCACCTTCATTTATACAATAACAAAAGCTACGATAATATCCTTTTTGGTTCCCAGCTCGTCGCCTTTGCTTCTTCATAAAAACAACAGTAGAAATCATTATTACAAAAGAACAAGTCCTAAGAAACGTGGTTTGAAACCCAACCCATAGGGGCTGGAGAGTTAACACCCAAAAAGGGGAGGTTTGGTTTCCTCTCCCAGAGACAGCAGGAAAAAACCACCCACAACCCTCCTCCTCCTCCTGCCCCCTAAAGCATCGGCGGCCACTCAGTGGCCGTCGATGCTTTAGGGGGCAGGAGGAGGGTTGTGCATGGGAGGGAAAGAGGGAGGAAAAGAGGAATGAAGGAGGGAGGGATGTGCACAGGAGGGAGGGTTCGCGAAGAAAGGGGGAATGGAGGAGGGAGGCACGGAGGAGGCAAGCCGGAGGGGTAGGCAGGAGAGGAAGAGAAGAAAGGGGGCATAAGAGGAAGCAGCACGGATGGGTGGAGGGGCAGCGAGAGAAGAGCGGGGTAAGAAGGGGGAAAAGCAGGGAAGAAAAGGGGGAACCCAGGAGGGCGGGATAGAGGGGCGATGAAGGGTGGAGGGAGGAGCGGAGGGAGGGAGGGGTGTGCACAGGAGGGAGAGAGGGAGGGGGTTACATACCGCTCATCCCGCATTAATGCCCCGCTGAGGCGCCGCTCTAGGGGGGAGGAGAAGGAGGAGGAGGAGGCGGAGGGTGGGGTGGGGGTAGCGGGGAGAAGGCCGGTCGCAGCCGGGAGCTGGGAGGAGCGGGACGGCCTATTTTTCCACGAATGGCCGCCGCTGGGCTGTGGCGTAGCTCCCTTTCTCTCCGCCCGCCGCCGCCGCCGGCCTCAGCCCGCCGCCTTGAGTGACAGTCGCGGGCCGGGGGGGGGCGGGCGGGGGCGGGGCCCGCCGGGGCCCCAACGACGCCCACTGAGCAGGAAACCGAGCCCAGCCGCCGGCCCCTCGGCCGCCCCGCTCCTCCTCAGCCCGGCTCCCCACGCCGCAGGCACGAGGGGCGGGGCGGGGGCGGGACGCGGCCCAGAGCCCTCGGCGGCGGCCTCCTCCTCCTCCTCCCGGTGCTGTGCCGTCCGCGCCGCGCGGGAGGGGCGTGGCCGTCGGGCCGCGCGCGCTCCGCGGGGGCGGCTGCGGCTCCCGCCCTCGCGCCGCTATCTTGACAGCGCCGGGCGGAGGGAGGGGCGGGAAGGGGGCGGGGCCTGGGCCGCGGCGGGGCGGGGCCACACCGGGCCCTCGGCCTCGGGTCCCGCCGCGGATCGAGCCGCTGATTGACGGCGCGCGCGCCCCGGCCGCCAGCGAATCCGGCGAGGGGGCGGGCGGGGCTGCGCGCGGCCGCTGGCCAACCCGAGGGCGCCCGCCCGCCTCGCGCGCTCGTAACTGACAGCGCGCGGGAAGCCCCCGAACTGCCGCTTTCCCTGAGGCGCGGCCACCCTTCCCCCCGCCACTCCCTCTGGCCGCCCAGGGAGCGGGGAGGAGACGCCCCTACGGCTTCCATATGGAAGCCGGGGCCTATTCCCTCCCCCGCCGAGCTACTCCTTTGTAACAGACTCCCGCGCCAGGCCTCTGCCTGCGCGCTGGCCCAGAGGAGGGAGGGGAAACGGTGGCCCGGGGATCGCTTCCACACCTGCTGTGTGGGGGCGGGAGCTGCCTCTTCCCTCCCCATTGGCGCTGTTGCGGAGGCCGGCGCGCGGCACGCCGGGATACGTAGTTCTGGCGGGGGGGGTGTCTGCTGTGGCCGCGGCGGCGCATGCGCAGCGGGGGCGCGCGGACGCCGTGGCCGGCAGGTGCCGCCGCCGAGAGCCGGGCCGGGGAGCGTGGCCGGGCACGGCCGGGCCGGGCTGGGCTGGGCTCGGGGAGAGGGGTCGGGCCGGGCCGGGCCGGGTCAGGTCAGGTCAGGTCAGGTCAGCCGGGGTCAACCCGCAGCCCTCAGCCTCGCCTCGCTGCAGATCTACAGAGCGAGAGTCAGTCCCCAGCAGCCTGTGGTGGTCCAGGCTGTCCATGGTTGGATTAAAACGAGATGAATTGCGATTGTGTTGTTCGACTCCGATGCTCGTGCCGATGTTCCCTGCGGATCAGGCCCCGCTGTGCGTGACTGGTTCGGAGCGGCGGCTGTGCAAAACGAAGCTGATCACGGTTGTGGTGTGGTGCAAGAAATGGTGGATCAGTAATACCCAGCTCCCCATGACAAAGCCTGTTAGCCCTACTCAGATTTGGAAGAAAATTGATTGAAGTGGTGGATGTGTTCAGCTCTGTCGGTTTAAATTTTCTGTTCTATGTACCCAAATTCTTTCTCAAGTGAATACAGAGCACCTACTAACCGCAAGATCACCAGTCTGCAAGATTATTAGAGGGATGGAACACCTCTCCTACAAGGGAAGGCTGAGAGATTTGGGTTTGTTCAGCCAGGAAAAGAGACGGCTTAAGGGTTAACCTATTTGCGACCTTCCAGTGCCTGATGGGAGCCTACAAGAAAGACAGAGAGGGACTTTTTACAAGAGCATTTAGTGATAGGAAAAGGGGGAACAGCGTCAATCTGAAAGAGGGTAGGTTTAGATTAGATATTAGGGAAAAAGTCTTTACTGTGAGGATGGTGAGGCACTGGAACATACTGCCCAGAGAAGTGGTAGATGCCTCATCCCTGGAAGTGTTTAAGGCCAGGCTGTATGGAATTCTGAGCAGCCTGGTCTAGTGGAAGGTGTGCCCCATGGCAAAGGGGTTGGAACTAGATGATCTTTAAGGTCCCTTCCGACCCAGGCCATTCTATGATTCTGTGATAAGTCAGTGACTAAAGTGACATTTCTTTACCAGCTGTTCAACAATTTCATTCTTCAAAGGGATGAGGCCACCCTCAGTCTCCACTCCAGGCCTCCAGCACACCTACTGGAAGGGAGGAAATGTAGAAGTACCATTGTAAAGTAAGAAAATAATCAGAAATAAGCATGACACAGGCTGTTTCCAGATGCCACACGGCCAGAACACACAGGTCACAAGTAGAAAAGGATCCTACCAATGCTGAATAAATTGTGTTCAGATAAGCAAGTGGTGATATCTAACAGTTACCAGCTCAAACAAATCTCACTGCCTGTTAGTGCCAGGGAGCAGCAACAGCAGGGCTGCCCCAGTAAGAGAGTCGATTGCCAAGGTAGGGCAGTGCCCTCATGGTCAGGGTGCAGCCCCCCACACCCAAGCAGGGCTGAGGTTGTGGCAGGACCTGCAGATGGTTCAGTGGTTCAGATGAGCAGGAGATGGAGGCATGTCCCCCACAGGGTCAGGTCTGGGCCCAGGGCTGAGCCCCACCAGAGCTCCGGCCACTGGGCAGTGGGTGGGGGTCCTGGGTGAGGGTGTTCAGGGCATCACAGCCTGCCTGTACCCTCAGGGCTCTTGAGACAGAGTATAGAGCACTTCCTGAATGAGAAGTTGTGTGAAGAATGGGCAAAGGTACTATTAAGGTCACTCTTTTTTATCAAGAGACAGATGTTTTAAGTCCTATGGCAGCTTTTAAACTTTCACTGGATTTCCATCTGAGGCTGTAGGTACAGTGCTTTTGAAAATTTGACTCTAGGGTGCAAAGGGTAAAAACTTTCTCAGGTCAGAGAGTGATTGAAGCAACAGATAAAAGATGGTGGTGGTGTAGGTGGTTTCAGTGGGGGCATCACGATTTTAATTTTTTATTTTTACCATCCACAGTTACTCGTATACCACCTACTCTTTCCTAAATGTCACTCTTGCTCAAATTTTTTCTGCCAGCTAAAGCTTTCTGAGTCTGCTTCTTTCAGCATTGTTCCCACATGAACCAGTACTTTCCCTCTGCACCCTGATACTGGTGGGCTTTTGATAGAAGTGAGCAGTAGTCACCTGTTGAGTTATATAAAAATAGGATCAGATCTGAGAATGTATGTGTGTTGGCACAGGAGTCCTGACTGCTATGGGAATGTATGAAAGAAAAATATCAGAAAAGGAAAAAATAAAACAAAAAGCTTTCGTCACTGCTTTCTTTCAGGCTCAGAACTTTAAAAGTGTGTTGTCACCCAGAAAGAGAGCACAGCATGGAAATGTGTGGGTGAGCAGAGACCCACTGAAATAGGAGTTCCCTGGCAAGATGTAACTCTGGCGTAGTATCACATGAGGGTGGCTGGTTTGCACAACAGCCCAAACTAAGAAAATCCACTTAGTGCTGAGTCTCTACTGCTTGGCATCTCTCACAGTGTGCATATATTTTGTTTAAATGAAACAGCTTAGCTCATTGTTTTTGATATTTTAATTATCCTTTCTCTGTATCCATATGTGTATTTTCTATCTCTCTTGTTAATCAGTTCAACATTTTGTTTCTGTTTTCCTAGTCTTCTAGTCTTCTAATTTTCTTTATTTTCTCCAGCTCTTTCCTGTGTGCATGTAATTGCTTTTCTTGTTGTTCTTTCTACTTTCTAATACCCACTCTTTTTTCCACCTCAAAAATATTCTCTCATCCGAGTTCCCTATCTGTATTTTGCATTCTTTCCATTCCCCCCCCCCCCTCGTTTTAGGCTCCCAAACTATCATGTATCTTCTTCTGTGTCCCTTCTGGCTTGCTCTCTAAGCTCTCCTTAGCATTCATTGATTTTTCACCTAACACACTGACTGATATTTTCAGACCTATTTAAGCATGGCTCTTTAAAGCACAGTGAGGCTTGTAAGGCTGAACGAGCAACACCTAAATATCTTTACAAAGGTAGCATGGAGGGGGAGGGAGAGACAGCTGTCTGCATGCTCTAGTTTCATTGGCTACCCTCTCTACTCTCAGGCAACACTACACAGGTTGTCGTCTTTGGACAGAGAGAGACAAGAGGCTGGCAGCTGCAAACAGCAGAGACAGTGATGAGACAGTGGCTTCACAAAACTATAAGTCCAGTTGTAGGGTACCTTGTATTGGATTAAACATGTTGCAGCCCTTAGACACAAGATGCTGAACTTGTATAAGACCACACTGTTTGACTGAAGCTGAGGTAGTGGTGAGAATATTTAAGTAGTACTCCTTTATTTAAAGGAGTAATTTTTATCTGGCAGGACTGTGTAAGATAAAGTACCAGATAGCCATATTTCTGAATGAAATACCAGACCAAAGGCTCTTTTGCCAATTCTTTCATGCTCTTTTTGTGCTCCTCAGGCAGCTTTGTCATGGAATCCAAATGTTTCCAAGAAATATATGCAAGTTTGGAATGCATATTTTTCCTCTTTTATTTCTGGTGGTTTTGTTGTAAACTGTCTCAACTCCATCAACAGCAGCTTTGAAGAACTTGGTGATGGCATAGAGTTAATGACCAGACAGAGCCTGGGCCAGAGCCACAGTGGAAATTGTGTACTTGGCAAGCGTGCTCCTTCGGCATTGTTCCACATGATCCCAAGTGGACCAAGTCAGAGGTATTTGACCGACTTGGATTCTGTGGAAAACATCTATCGACAACACCATGGGTGCTCAAGGCATGATTTCTTCTGTAATATCTTCTCTTTGCAA